TTTTACCCAATTTACCTTGAACTTCTACAACTTTAGACTCATAATATTCATAGTCGTCTGTCTTCTTTGGTTCATAAGGTATAACAAGTTTGTATGCTTTGCCTTCTTTAAGGTTTGAGAACCTTCTGTCAAAACTTTCTTTGACTGTTAACAAACCTTCTATGTCTAAGTCTTCAAATTTCGCACCATTTTTAGTCACAATAGCAAACTTAACTGGTTCGATGTTCCAAACTTTGCTGAATGAAGACTTTTCAAAATGGTAGAAGTAAACATTCAAATATGTGAATGGTTCTAGTTCTTCTTTAAGTCCTGACATATACTTATTTACTGAGATGAATTTTGCCATCTTTTCTTCAGAATAAAAAAATATTTTTTTTAAAAATTTAATCAGAAAATTTTTTCTTTGTATATACACCATTCTGAACATCTAAAAGACTTTTGACATTTGCCAAGAATGTTCGTTTAGACGCTGGCATATAACCATATTCTTGACAATATTGTTTATATTCATCATATAAAGACCTTTCATCTAATGACACAAAGTCAGTTTCATCTACGAACAGTTCATAAACACTCTTGTTTGCTTCTAACAATGTTTGTCTCTCTTCGGTATGTGGAATTTGTCTTGGGTTGAACTTTGAAATATCTAATGTCATGAAATATGAGAACAAGTAGTTGTAAAAGTCAGATGTCAAACATTCTGACAAAGCGTCAAAATATTCAGTATCTTGCATATGAGAATCTGACGTTCTGACAACTACATATCTTCTGTCAGAACTTTCTAACTTCATCGGAACAGCATTGTTTGAAACCATAATGAAGTTTGCAACATTCTCACAAACTCTTGAGTCTTTATACTTTCTTTCAACAACTCCAACTTTGTCTATTATAAGACTCTTCAAAGCATCTGAGTTTAAAACTTTTGTTGTATCTATACTTTGAAGTTCGTTACATACTATAAGTTTCATATTCTCAATTGAAGAGTTAAATTTACCACAGATGTTTTCTAAGTTTATCATATTCGGATTCGAATAACCTTCTAACAGTTTGCATAAGATATCTGTAAAGAAAGTGTTCTTACCTGTTCCTTGTTTTCCAATTATAATGAGAGCAGTTTCATTCTTAGCACTTGGATGTTGTAAGATGTTTGCAAACCAACATAAGATATACTCATAAACTTTTTCGTTTCCATTGCATATAATTTCTTTGACATGGTCTAACCAAGCTTCTATAATATTTTCTTTCCATTCTACTTGTTCATATTTATATCCAGTGAAGATAGAATAGAAGTTTGGAGAAGGTGTATAGAACTTTATACCACGAACTGAAAAATCTTCTAACTTTGACAATAAGATATCCCAAGCATCTAACATCTTCATACCAACTTGTACGACTTTTATTTTCTTAAGTTTCTGTCTACATTCTTGTTCTGAAACTATTGTCGCTTTAGGTTTGTTAAAGACTACATCCCATTCTTTCATAACATAACATTCTGGGGCAGAGTCGACATAAATGACTAAACGTTTCAAATTCTCGACTGCTTTGTTATAGTCTCGAAATGGACACATATTTCTGAATGCTTGGAAGTCATAAAAATCTGAAACATCTATTCTGTACATTTTTATAAAAATAAAAAAAATATTTTTTTTATTCTTGACTTTGTTGTTGCATTTGTTGCATTTGTTGTTCTTGAGCTATTTGTTGTTGAAGTTGTTCTTGTAATACAATACTTTCACCAGTTGCATCTTCCAATTCGAAACTTTCTGCCGTCATTGACAAATACATAGGACATAAAAGTTTTACAGGAACAAAGTTTGCGTCAACTAATGTCAACGTTATACTTGCCAAAGTGTTTGAGTTCACTAAGGTTGAAAATTCTGCATTCGAATGAACAATAGGCAAACCAGCAGAGAAAGTATTGTTTATACGCATAAGTATCTTTTGGTCATAATAGTTTCTGTCGACATTCGAATAACACTTTGAGCCTAAGTTTGAAACAATATATAAGATTGGTGTGCTTAATGTCAATGGAATAGACATTCCTTGTATGACACCTTTTCCTGTTATAGGAAACTGTTGGTAGTAAAAACCAGAAATAAGTTTTGTATTATAGCTCATATCATTAATAGTAAACTCAGTCGGACATCCAAACATAATGAAACCTGCTCTAGTTGCAGCACATGTTACACCCGTACTTAAAGTATTAAATAAGTCAACAAAACCTGTTGGTGGTATATCTGAGTAAGTATCTTCAAAGGAGTATTTTTTACCATTCACAACAATAAAGTCTTCTGGTGTCAAAAGAGCAAAACAGGCTTTAGTCGTCATTGTGTTTAAGGTTAGTTTACAATATTGTCCTTGAGGACTTTGTAAGTTTGTTGTTATAGAATTATATGACTCAGGGTTTTTAGTCGTAATAGTATAAACCATTATGTCTTCTGCCATTTACTTAGCAAATAAATTTTAATGAAATGTTGTGGTCGTCAAATATTTTTATAACGTCTGGGAAACTATATTTTAAGTTCAACGTTTCACCTCCTTTCATAACGTATATCTTGTCAATGACATTATATGAAACACCACAGCAACTAATGTCGGGTTCTATTTCTTTGATGTTTATATTGTCTGCCTCTGTCAAAAGTTTCAATAGTTCTTTCAAAACTTCATGAGGTGCAATGACATATGAGTTCACTTTTACAGGGTTGTGTTCGACCAAGTTTAACATTATACCTAAAGCTTGACAAATCTTCTCCTGAGTTTGAAGTTTGTCTTTCAGTTGTTGGTAGTCGTTTCGAATATCTGCAACAGAACTTAAGTCTCTGTTAACTTCAGGATATGTTGGTTGTTCTTTTACAGGAACAATTGTTATACCATCTTCGTCTTCGTATGGTTTCCCCACTTCAACATCTCTGTCTTTGACATTGACAATAACACTTTGACTGTTTGTTTGAGTTGGTGAATTTAACTTCACATCTGCCACCGCCATTAAACCTTTTGAAACACTTACGCTTCTATTTTTCGGAAATGACATTTTACTTAGAATAAAAAGATGGACGTATTCGGATATCTCTTTGAATTGAAGCAAAACAAAGTTTACACACACAAACAATACAAATACATTGACAGAATAGTTATTTATACAAACAATGGTAAATGTTATAGAATAGCAATATTTGCTGAACCAAAATATTTTCATAAAGCAAAGAAAGTTGGTATAACCGAAATGGTGAAAGTTCTTGAAGCAGACAAAAATATAACAACAAAACTGACCGATATTTCTAAAGGTAAGTTTATAATACAGTATTATGTCAAAACAGGTGTCATAACTATTTACGATGGTGAGAAGTCAGTTCAAGAACAACTTACTGACCTGCTGCCAAAATCTGCTCGATGGAAGCTGTCGTTATGCCAATCTGAGGAGCCCCAGCAGGTTTCATCGAACGAATCTTCAAAAGAGCATCTTCCGTGAAAAGTGCTATTGGTTTTGTAAACTTCTTTGCTCTCAGTTCATCTGGACCGTCTCTGTCACCAGTATATTGTATTTGTACAGTACCAACAGTTGAAATACCACCCATAAAGTCTTCTGAGTCAGCAAATGGAATGCCAAGCCAAAAGTTTGAACGGTCTCCATTTGTATATTGAGTTTTTTGACCTCCTGTATGAGTCCATACTTTCACATATGGCATAATAGAACTTTGCATTTCAGGGTTAATAGTTGTTGTGAAGTTGTTGTTAAAGTTCATAGCATCTAATGTCAAGTTGTATGACCTTATCTTCAACTGTAGAATATTCTTCTCTTGGATAATATTTGCCATCTATGTTTATATGATATTTAATACCAGGGTTGTAGAAACAAGAATAGTCATTTATAGTTCGTCTGAACAGTACAAACATAGTATCTGCATGTTTCATTGCAGTTGTTAAAGCAATATCTGTTCTTGCACCTGGGTCAGCACTTTGGTTTCCAACTTCACCTGCAAAGTCTTTGACAGATATTTGGTGTATAGGGAACATAAGTGGAACTGCAATATATTTGGCAGCTAAAGCATTTGAAATATCTGGGTCCAACATATAGACTGCAAGTCTGCTTTCTATTCTCTTGCATTCAAACTTTTCGCATGTGAACTTAACTGGGTCCCAAGCATCTCCAGCAGCATTGAAATAATAGTTTACTTCATTGTTGAAGTTTGAGAAACCAAAGTCTAAGTCAACTTTGTCTTTGCAAAATTCGGCGAATGATGTTTTATTTGCTCCCTTTACGTCTGTAATGGTGAATGGGTCTTGTGTTGGTGCAATGACTAAGTTATTTTTGCTTGGAGTAAGTTCGATAGAAATTTTTCCTGCCCAGTTTGGCAAGTATCTTAAAAACCTGAAGATGAGGAAAGATGACAAAGGAACTCTAAGTTTCAGTTTTACTTTAGTGGCAGCATTTCCATCTGAACCAGAAAGGTTAACATAAACTCCTGGAACGTTAGGGTCAAGTCTTCTTATTTTCTCAATATTTTAATACTGGTCTGTTTGTTCTCTAGCTTGTGGTTGTACTGAGTTTCTCAAAGCGAACCATTCATAGTTTGCCCATGTTACTGTTTGAACTAAGTCAGAGTTAGAATATATCTTATATCCCATGAAAACTTCTGGAGCATATTGGTATCCGACATAGAAAATTCCATTGCAACCTTTCTTGTCAGACAACTTGGCAGAAGGTTTTATTTCAATGTCTTGTTCCACGTATAAGAATGAGTTGTCAATAGAAATAATGTGAAACCTGTCGCAAGCAATATCTACTGTTGTTGAAGAACCTTCTCCAAACTCACCTACATTTCCATAAGAAACAGCAGTTGTATATTCGTAAGTTCCAGGAACTATTTCTGACCTTCTAATGGCATTGTCGCATTCGTTATACCATTCGGAAACATTTCCGTTCATGGCATCCAAAACTGTTGGCGTTATATTCTGAGCGGCGTACATTTCATATGGGTAAAAATATAGAATAGTTGGATTTATGTGTCATAATAGAACCCATTCGGACCAAGCTTTACTTTCTTCCTGGCTGACTTTTTAACTGAATCTTTAACTCTTCTTTTTCCTTCATTGCCACTACTTTCACTAGATGAAATTACTTCTTCACTACTTTCACTTTGTTCTACTCTTCTCTTCTTCTTTGGTGTCGCTTTTGGTAACTTGCCCTCTGCTTCAAGTTGTAGCATCTTTGCCTCATGTTCACCTAGTATGTTGTAAATTTCCCATGTCCTTTTTGCCTTTGGGCTCTGGTCGCCCATCTCAGGTAACCTATATCCTAGAAAGATTTTGTCATAGTTTGTATTTGAGTCTTCGCTTATTGTTTGCATGACTCTTTCCTGAGTTTCCGGTTCAAGCTCTTCAAACAGAGCTTATCCATATGGAATAAGCTCATTTCCAAATATATGTTTTTGTAGCCATTCTGGTTTTCTTTCCATGTTACCAATAATATCTTTTGTGAATGGGAAAGCTTTTACCCAACGTTTCAGTCTTGCGTCATTTATTTCTGTAGTTGGTTTTATTTTGTCATGGAACATGTTTTTCAATACTAACATTTCATTTGGTACTGTCCATTTGAGTTTTCTTAAATATTCATCCCTTCTCATTTCATTGTCTGCAAAGTAAGTTTTTTATGACATTTTGCAAACTTTCGTTTGCAAGGTCATGTACAATAGGTTCTCTTCCTTCTCTCTCCCTAACTCTCTTTCTAAACTCTTCACCAAATATACCATCTCTATGGTTCTGTGTAGTTCTTTGAGATAAATGTTCTAGAACGTCAGGTGTTATATTTCCATCAGCCATGTTCATTTCATACTGGTCCAAAATATCTGCATGTTTCATATCTTTCAATGGCATTAAAGCCGCGCTGAAAATACCAGCTATATCTGGTTCACCATTCACTTCCATTGCGTCTACAACTTCTTGGAATTGAGGTTGTAAGTTTATGAACCACCTATCCGGATTAGCTTTATGACCCCATCTCATTGTAGTTCCATAGTCTGCAGAAACAAAAGTAGGTTTGTTTCCATATTGGTTAGGTTCTGAATGAACTTTAAACAATGTTTCATTTCTATATGTTTTGTTGAAATTTAACCTTTTATTTTCACCGAGTTCAGCCAAAGATTGAACGTTATATGGTCGTAAGTAAAAAGGATTATTGTATTTGCATACATTTTCTTTCAGTACTTCCATTCTATGCTGAATATTTTCATCTCATGTTGGAGTCTTTTGTATGTCGGTGAACATTTTTCGATATCCTTCTACTATGTCAGCCGAATTTTTCTTAGACTCTTGGAAAGATTCCATATTCTCCTCATACACTTGTTGAGGGTCAAGATTTTTCGGCTGTTCCAAATCTTCATCTAGTTCTGTGAAGTTAGTTTCCAAAGGAGGGACTTGTTCGTTTCCTTCAGGCTCTTCTAGCTGTTGTTGCTGAACTATTTCTTCCATGTCTGGTTGTATCTGAACTTCTTCCTGTGGAGTTTCTTGTACCTCATCTGCTGGCATTTCATATATTCCGAGACCGTTTTTAACAAATTCCCTTTCTAAGTCATCCGCATTCATAACCCTTTCTTCTTTCGTTCCGTCTCTATTTTTTACGCGTTTCATGAAGATAGTTGAATTATCATTTATCTCTGACATCAAATATCTCGGAGTAAATTCATCCATGTCATTTGGATGATATGCTATTAAATCATATCCCTTTGCGAGCTTGTATTTTCCAGGTTTGAGATTATATCCGATTTGATGCTGAACCATAAAGCTAAATAGGTTCGGGTCAGTATTTCCTTCCTTGAACTTTCTAATAGCTTCTTTATATCTGTCACTAAAGTCAAGAGTATCTGGGTAACCATAATTTTCCTTAAGCATTTTTAAGAATTCTTGGTTTCCTTTTTCTCTACTTCTTTTATGTCCTTGCTCTGTTTGTGGTTGTTGTTGTGCAGGGTTTTGAACTGTTGGTTGTTGTGCTGGTTGTTGTTGTTGTGCAGGTGCAGGGTTTTGAACTGTTGGTTGCTGTGCTGGATTTTGAACTGTTGGTTTTGGTTGTTGTTGCTGTGCTGGATTTTGAACTGTTGGTTGCTGTGCTGGATTTTGAACTGTTGGTTTTGGTTGTTATTGCTGTGCAGGGTTTTGAACTGTTGGTTGTTGTTGTGGTGTTGGTTGTTGTTGTGGTGCTGGATTTTGAACTGTTGGTTGTTGTGTTGGTTTTGGTGCATGCCTGTGTCTGTGTCCATGTGACGATGTAAATGTTTTAGGTAGTCCTGGTGCAGGTGCTTCTCTTGGAGGGTTTGGTGGTATATAAGTTCCACCAGCTGGCACATATGTTCCATCTGCAGCATAATGTCCTACCTGACTTTTCGTTTTTAAGAAAGCATTTACTAGGTCTGTTTTGGTCTGTTGTAACTCTTTTTCTTGACTTTCCACAACAGCTGCTCTAACGGCGTCATAGGCACTTTGAACTGCCTGTCTCGTTGCTGCATCTGTTATTTTCGTCATATTTTGTGCTACTTCTCTTAACTCTTTGTCGAAACCTTCAGACTTCAGTTTCTTTCCAGATGAGAAATCGTTCACTTGTTTCACCTTACTATGAAGAGCTTCGAAGGCATTCTTAAAGTCAGCATTCATTAAAGCTTCATTTGAACTGTCTTCATCCGCTTGTATTTTTGTCCTTATTGACCATATAAGTTGGGCTGCTTTGGCGTTGGCTTGGGCATCTAACCAGTCATTATTAGCTTTTATATATTCTGCGCTTTTCATTGCCTTTTGCATGGCTGCGTCGTTATTTTTACTTTCTTGTGCTAAGTTTTCATACTGTACGGTTTGGTTTTGCAACTGTAAAAGTTTTTCTGCCTTTACATTTGCTTCAACTTCTTTTTTATACTCATCGCTATCCATATATGTCTTCATGGCTTTTTGTTTTATCTCTTCATCTTTCAGTACTTTATATTGAGTAGTATGGTTTTTCAAATTTATAACATCTTGTTCCATTTTTGCTACTTCTGCTGCTTTTTCTGACACTTTTTTCGCATATTCCTCTGTACTTAGTTCTTTCAGTTGTTCTTCTTTCTTCTTTTTCTCTACGTTTAACTCATTGAGTTTCTTTGTGTGTCTGTCATATTCTAGTTTCTTTTCGTTTTCACTTATTTGTTTCTGTATGTCTATGTTTGACTTTTTGACATCTGTTATTTGATTTTTGAGTGAACTCAAATTCATTTGACTTTGAGGGTTATAAGCTGTTCCGTCTGCAGCTCCACTAGGGTTGTTAGATTCCCGACGATAGGTGTCTTGGAAGATTTGCCTGGTGTCATCATAGTGTCTTTAAATCAAAAATTTCAGCACCCACAGGTTTAGAGCCTCAATATCAAACTGCAGCATCTACACATTCTCCAAGCAGAACAGACAATTCAAATTCAAATTTGTCCTGCAATTCGCTCAATCCAAAGCCACTTTCACTACCAAAAACAATACCAAACGAGCTCCGTATTACAAAGAACCACAGCAACGCTGAACTACGCAAAATACTACTCAGATTGTCTGAAGAATACTTCAATTCAAAGCCAGAAGAAAGAGTTGCTGCAACTTTTAACAAAGAATATTGTGAACAACTCAACAAAGTTCTTGCAGACTTTACCAAACTACAAAAAGAAACACCTGACCCATTCGAATTAGGTGACACAATTGTCAACTATTTTCCAACAATAACAAAGATAATGTTTGACAGAACTATATGTCAGCTTATTGAAAGTCTTCCACCCAAAGCTGCAAAAAAAGTCGAACAGTTTTGGGTCGAATTCAAATTAAAGAGTTACGGATATCAGGATGACGAAGAAGAACGTGAGTACGGACAAGAAACAGCAAAATGGCAATGTCTTAGCTCACTCAACCCCAAGTTCAAACCATTATTTTACTCAGACAACAACACAATTCAAGTACGCAAAATTGCTATTCATTTCGTTAACCAAGCAGAAGACATTGAAGAAGGAGACTCTATCTCAGTTTATGTTTGCTACTGCAAGTTTTTCAAGGACGAATTTGGAGGACCAATTCTCATGCATGTCTTCAAGCCACATCAGCAACTCTACGTTGAAACTGAAATAACACTCATGCATGGAATGTATCTCAAGTTTGAAAGCCAATTGGAAAACACATACAACATTTGGCTTTCATACATTCAGTTCGATACACCAGATGACTTTGATGTTGAAGAAGAAGACTCTACTCAAGAAGATGAACCACAAGACGCACCTGATGATGACGAATTTGTACCCGAAGAAGAAGAAGAATATCATTCAAGAACACCATCAGAAGACGACCAACAAATGGCAGATGCAATGGACAGTCAAGTTCCATGAAACTAAACATCTAATTTTATCTCAATTCCAACTTTTTTAAACATCTTCGGGGCTAGAGGGCGCAACGCGCCTGGAAGCCCCACTCACCTGACCTAAAACATAATAAATATTACCAGTATATTCGATCTGTCTGATAAAAAATCCTTCATTTGGCAATTTTTGAGATCCCAATGCAAATTTTTTGAAATTCTCAGAAAAATTGAGAGGAAAAATGTTATTAATCGGCAATGTCTCAAATTTAAATTATCCGTCCAATTTTTTTCTGATTGCTATTTTTCAAAACTTGCCTAAGTGGATATACTTACATAGCACTGTAACATACATTTCTTTCAACTAGATAATAAAATCTCAAATAAAACATTAATTTTCCAGATAATTTCTTTTCTAGAAAACTATTTCTATTTCAATTTGTGCACTTAGTTCCATAATTTTTTCATGACTGTTGATAAGCTATATATATACTGCTTGTATCAATTCATATGAAATGAATAGCTTCTTTCTTCAATAATGATTACAATTATATTCATAGTTCAATGTTGATCCTTTCATCATTGTAGTAAGATGGAAAAAAATTGGAATTCGTTAAATTATCCTCAATTCTTCTATAATATAAGCTATATTCCGGAATTAGCTTTCTTTAAATCAAAACTGCAATACCCTTCTTATAATTAGTCCAATATTCTGATGAATTTAACAAATATATTATAATCGTAACCATATTCTCAAAACTAAACATATTATCATATATTTTAAAATCACTCTATAAACGCGAATTTTTAATAACAAAATCTATTGGCTTCAATTATAAATATATTGACGAACATCGATCGCATTTGCGCCACCCTCTAAGATTGGCAGCAAATAGGAAAGTAATTCATCATCACTCAAATCTCCAAGCCAGGAAGACACTTCTATTCCATTTTCTGGCTGTAATTTGTAACAAGCTGGAGAATTGTCGACAATCATAATAGATGAAAGGTCTCTATCAAAAATGGTTAAATCTTTAACTAATGTTCCATCAATTAGTTGACAATGGTATCGAGTAAGAACTTTTGAAGCGGGAAAAGTAGGAATAACCTTCTGAACAACAGGGACTGCATACTCGGGTAAAGATGCAGTGAATATATAAATATCGTACAGTGGTTCAATGACTTTGAAAAATTCATCAAATCCAGGTCGTTTTTGAACATAAATCGTATATGTAATTCCATTGTATTGAACTGGCATTTCATAGTCATACCAATCAGGCTTGTGGAAACGCGAATGCACAAGTGTTTCATCTAAATCTAAAATTAAAGTTATCTTTTTTTGCGGGTCAACGATTTGAGAAGCTTGAATTATTGCATGGGTCGTAAGGGTTGATTCGAATTGAGAAGGACTGTGCGAAATGACCTTCCTCTCGATAAAATCGAGGGCGGTCATTTCCGAACAATAAAAAAAAATTTTTTTGTGAATCAGGAAAAAATTTAGTTTTGAGAAGGAAAAATTATGAGATCCGATCATTGATTACAAAATTATGAGCCGAGCTGTATTTAGTCATATAAAAGATCATGAACAAAGAGCGGATTGATGTTATCAATGTTACAGTTAATCATGAAACATCCAAGTCATCTTAATCAGAAATTAGAAATATCCGATCAAAACACACCCTCAAAAGAGGTAAAATATAGCAATATTTAACATAATTTTTCTAATAAACAGTAGATCAGCAATCATATTTCGTGTTTCACTTATAATTGTTGCACATGATGCAAAAGAAAGAAAGTTGAGCTTTGTTTTCATTGATTCCACATCGGATGGCGTAATATTTAATCAATAACTCTATTGAAATTTATCAAACTCCAATCTCTTATACTGCGTAATGAAACAAGAATATTCTTATTCATCTCTTTCATTAATATCCAACCCATGATAAATTCTGTAGAATGCTTTGTTCTTGTTCTCTGAGAGAATATTTTACAAAATTGTCACTTTTCATTTCATATGCAAATTGAAAGGTCATCGGTATGATTCGTACGTTAAATGATGAAAGGTCATATTGCATAAAATATGTTAAAAGGTTATCATAAAATTCCTTTGTGCATGAATCCATTAAATTCTTGAAGTAATCAAATTGACCCTTGAATTTACCATTAACCCTTAAAACTACGTATCTTCTGTCTCCAACTTCAATTTTGACAGGGTAAACGTTATTAGTTACCAAAATGAAATTGGCAACGTTCTGTGCTGTTCTTCTGGGTTGATTCTTTTCATTAATTCTAATCTCATTATCCGTAATAATTGATTTCAAAGCGTTGAAGTTTGCGAGTCTATCTTCACCAACATTCTTGAGTTCATTAAGTACAAGAAGCATTTTATTCTCAACAACTGAGTTAAAATTACCCGTTAGCTCACTTATTTCAGTAATGTTTTTACATGAATAACCGGCGAGAAGTTCAGAAATAATGTCTGTAAATCTGTTTTTACCTGTTCCCTGAAGTCCTTTCAAAATAATTGCTGTTTCATTCTTGATTCCAGGATGTTGAATCATTGATGCAATCCAGCCGAGAAGGTATTTATACACTTCATCGTTATTATCACAAATGGCTTCTTTAATGAAATTCATAAACATCTCAATTTTTGAGTAATCTGGTTTTTCGAGAACGTTGTATTTATAACCCTGAAACGTTGAGAAAACATCTGGGGAATCAGATTTAAAGCAAACACCCTTAACGGTTAATGAGGATAATTGATTTAGTAGTACATCCCATGCTGTTATGGTTTTACCTTCTTCTTTAAATAATTTAATCATTTTGAGTGACTCTTTCATGTTTGATTGAAGAACGAATGATATTTGATTCATTTTGTCGTGTATGTTGTAATCTTTCTGAATGAAATATTTATTTCCACAATCTACAAAACGGATTACACGTGATAAATCCTCAATTACTTCAGAACTGTTTTTATACTGATGATTTTCAGCCTTGCGTCTAATATCTGTTATCAAGAATGAATCATCAAGTTTTATATCAAATGTTATTTTTGGCTTACGTAATAAAGGTAAAACGTTTTCATCATAATATTCTTTTTGATATAGTTTCAGAATCTTCACTAAAACAAATGGAGAAGTCATTAAATGTGCATATCTACTACGTGCTTTTTCAAAATTACTTTTTGCATTTTCTGTTAAACTGCAGAAGTTATAAACGTTATCATATGCTTCATTAATTAAATGATTAGGTAACGAATTAATTGCTTGAAACAGTGTGAATAATGTAACTTCTTTTTCTAAATTCATGTTTCCACCGTCATTATGTACTTCAAAATCACTAATACCATCGACTATGCTCTGGGCAAGTTTATCGTCAATGTTTACATCTTTGTTTTCATTCATGATAGTCTTTATTTCTTCGTTCTTTTGTTCAACTCTTACCTTAATATTCAAATCATTTAATATATCATTCACTGTTCTAGTTAATGTTGAATCATAACTTCCACGAATGAATGAGTATGTTTTGATTGGTTCTGTTGCATTCTTGCGAACTCTTGAATCAGCCATAACCACTAATGAACGCTTTGAATCATCCATTGAAGTCATGATATCGATATCATAATCATTGAAGGAATAGCATTTAATCATTCTGTTCGAAACTGCATAAAAGAAATTAGTGTTGCAATAAATGTGAAGACCTCCTGAAGCGGTTTTAACGATAACATCTTTATCCGAAAGTTTTGATAAAATGTCTTTTCTAACCGTTTCTTTAAGTTCATCATTGTACGATTTATTGATATCAATATCTATAATCGTTAAATTCGAAATTTTATTTACTAATAAAGCCATACCAGTTTTCCTTCCTCTTCCTCCATCGTGTTTGAGGTAGTTATGTAAATCAATCTTGTTTTCACCAATTCTTTCGTTGAGGGTTTTAGTTTCTGCCACAACTAATTCCTCAGCTAATGAATCAATAACTTTTTCATCAGAAATGATAAAGTTGCTGTTGTTGTTTGTTGCTGTCATTTATATAGGAATAAAAAAATAAAAATAATTTTAAAACTAACTTTATTTTTGGGCTGCATCAAATTTCCTGGACTGTTGTCTAAATGTCATGTTGTCATCATTTTTTAAAGAAGTTAATTAACCTGGTGACATGGTGACGTGGTGACACTGAAAACATTCATGAAAACATTTATGAAAACATTAACGTAAACATAAACGATAAAATTTATTTCCTGGACTGTTGTCTAAATGTCATGTTGTCAGTAATTTTAAGAGAAGTTAATTAACCTGGTGACATGGTGACGTGGTGACACCTTCAGTTCTTCAAAAATAATTAATTATTGAATAACCTAAAAAACCATTAATGATAAAATATATTTCTGCAGTTCATCCGCTACTTTATTAACTAATTAACTTCAGACATAAATTTTATTTAGTTCATAAAATTTTTTTGATTAATTTTGACTTATTTTTATCCTTCTAGTAATCCTTTTCGAGTTCCGATAAATGTGTAGGGTTCGATTCTCTCAAATTTCTAGAAGGAATTTTATCATCCACACCTCCTTCATAAACGACAGTGTATTCATCTTTGTCTTCATCATAACTCACAATTTTATTAACTATACCTCTTTTTGCTTCATCAACCGTCTTAGCTAATCTTCCATTTTCGCTTTCAACTAATCGAAATCGTGGATAAAACGCTACTGAATGGTCAGCTGCTTTAATTAAATAACCATTACCCTGTGAGGAATCAACGATATAATAATCATCACTTAACTGATTTCTTACCTTTTCATGTGGTTTATGTTCAAGAATGATTCTAACTTTAGTTCCTGGCAGTAATGATGGAAAGAAGAACACAAAAGGGTTCGGTGTCTCGAAGAGACGTTGTCGAAGAGGAATAAAAATTAAATTTGGATAGAGTTTAAAAATTCATCTTTATTAAATTCATCTCTTCCAATCAATTTATTTATTCTATTAAATTCTTTTATTTTTGCTTCACTCAGTTTAAGGATTGAACGGTAAGTTTCTAACTTTTCGATTATTTCCTTCTTCTCTTTATCGTTTTCAATTACTTTAGTTTTATGGGCATCAGTCCCGCCGCATTGCGGCTTCTTTTTGTAATAGCATATTTTTGATTTAATTCTGTTTAGTTTCTTTTTATATTCATTGTCTGGACTCTGAATCTTAATTGAATCAGGACTCTTGGCTGCTTTGTTGTCACTCATTTCTTACGAAATAAAAAAAATTAAATATTATTTAAATATAATGGAGTAATAAAATAAATCTGAATTTCTATTAATTTATTGTCAACTTCAACTAATGCATTGCCGTTAATATATCTAACAAATTCAGCTATTGTGTCAAATCTTCGTCTTCTTTTTGTCATTGATTTATTAGTTTTTCCATAATCGAGATGAATCAAAACTTTATCCCCTTGTTTAAAATTCATGAGCCCCGAATTAATTTGTTCACGTTTAACATCATTTAACCTTTCCATTTGCTTTCTAATATATTCCCATTCTTTTGAAATATCATTTTTCATTTCCACTGGTTTCATGTTTATAGTTCTATGCCATGTATTATTGTAATAATATACTAACTGCTGTATGATGGAGTCATGATTTCCATCCAGTATATCTGACCGTTAACCCCTAACGCATCTCTAAGAGTTCTCATTACCGCATCAACTATTTTATTATGAAACGTATATGGAGAGATGAGAAGTAAAAATTAATTTGTGGAAATAATGAGCCATAGCTGCCTGAAATCCTTTATCACCATCACCCTTATATTATCACTCTTTCATGATCTAGTAAGTATTGAATAGCTCTTCTTGTTTCCTGTTCTGTTTTCCCTTTCACTGGAATGCAATATAAATATCTAGTGTTAATGTTAATGGCAAATAAATAAGTACGTTTCCTTTTGAATATTCCAGATGATCGATTTCGTATGAATATGGATATGGAGCAAATGAAGGGCGACTAAATTTTTCCTTTAACGGTTGAATTTTCGGGTCAGTTGGTTTATTTAATATCTTGAAATCCTTTTTAAAATCTTTTTGTTTCTTTGGTGATTGAAATGGATATAATAAAGTGAATGATGAAGGATTAACTGAAGGAGGAGAGGTACTGTCGTTGGAGGTTTTGGTATTGCAAGTGGTTTAATTTTATCTGCTTTGATTTTGGATGATGAAGTTTTGGATTTCATTCCTCCCTTCATTAATTCTGGATGTATTCTATTCATTTGTTTTAAATATGCTGTATATAAAGGTTTGATATACTTTCCCACTTCGAGTTTATGTTGAAGGATGAATTCCAAAAGTTGATCTTCATTTAAAAGTCGGGCTGAATATGGTTTAACTAATGAATCATAAATTAAAGCTTGTGCTTCATTTATGGTCTGAAGGACCTGGGCGTTTTGCGCCTTTAGCTGTTGAACATTTGCTACTTTAGAGCTCGGCTTTTTCTTCTTTTGTTTTTGTTTCTTTGGTTTTTGTGGCTCAGGATTATATAATTTATATAATTCATCAATATCTTCTTCTGTTAATACTTTATTTTTGAAATCTTTCAACTGTTTAAGCTGTGATTTAGTTTTTCCCTTTGCATATTCATTATTTTTAATTTTGTCTTTAATTTTAGAAATTATTTTATCATGATATTTCAAAATTTCATTTTTATAATATGGATAATAATAATCCATATCATCACCCGTTATATTTTTATTATATTTTTGGAGATATGATTTTAATTCATAATAATTAAGAAAATTTTGAAAGTACTAAATCATCAATTAAATTTTTAAATCTGCGTTATCATTTATATAAAAATAAAATAAATGTTTAAGGGTGCCCACCTCTTTGAATCATAGTATCAAAACCATTATTTACATATTGAATCGCATCATTAACGGTTCCTCCTTCTAAAACGGTATCAAATGGTGGAGTCCAGATTTCCTGATGATGATCATAAAATCCAGCAAAATTAACCGTGTTATTAGGTAAAATATGAATCTCAGCAGTATATCTTCTATCTAAATTTGGATGCCTTATATGTATACCATTACTACCCGGATAAAATCTCAAACCTTGATTTTGTTGACGCATCAAATTATTGAAATTTCTTTCTTCAGGGGTGAATGTTTTTCTCCGTTGATGCTGTGGTGGTGGTGGTTGTTGCTGCTGTTGATGCTGTGGTGGGATTTGAAAAATTCGTTGTGGTTGATTATTTGGAATCTGAAAGTTAAAACCATTTGGTATAAATCGATTTGGTTCCTTTTGTCTCTTCTGTGGCATTTCATTAAAAATAAAATTTTAAATTGTATTAAATAAATGGCATACAACATCCATTTTCACAACATACAGCCTTAGTGTGTGCTCCTGTTAATGCAGTCTTACCGATTGTTAAGCGAGTCATCGACCCGTTTTTAAGTTGTAAATTAATATTTTGACCATCAAATATCACTTTATCATTTATTATATCCAAATAATTTTTAGGCGTTAATTGTTTATTTTATCTTAAACTAACACCTTTCATTTTTTGTGCAATCTTTTTAAAATCACTTCCATCAATTGAACCGTTGAATGATGTATAACACTTAGGGCATAAAGCAACCATGTTATCACCTTGTTTCTCAATTGCTAAACCCAATAATTTTTTCTCATGTGCTTTTTCTTCAGCTTTATTCTTTAATTTATGTTTAAATTTCTCCTCAAAACAGAAGAAATCAAATGGTGCGAATTTGAAAATGTTTTTATAATAAAATTGTTTATCGGTAACAATTGCTTGAAATGCTTGAGTGTTAGGAAGATTTGGGTCGCCAGCGATTGCCCAATAAGATGAATCAGTATCACCTTCAATGAAATGAAAACGATTAACATTCATGCATTTATACATAAAATCATAAATGAAAACCAAATACCAGTATTTAGCATTATCTAAAGTGAAGAATGCCTCTTGTAAACATGTATCACATCTATAAAATCTATCTTTAAGCATCACTTGATATGTATCCTCACCTATTTCTCTTATGTTTTTAAACTTATTTGACATACATGCAACGCGTGCCTTCTGTGCATTCATTATTTTAGTCTTTGCGTAATTTTGTGTATTCATTGCATCGTAACCATATGATCCATTAAGTGAAATCTTGCAAAATCAACTTTTTCCTTTATTTCCTTCTAATTCAGCCTTTTGTCTTTCGTTCATAAATTCGTTCGCAAATTCATTAAAACAAGTGTTTTTCGTAAATGTTAAAATTGATTGAATATCATCGATGATAAAATGAAATCTGTCTATTAGATACCAAAGATAATAAGAAGAAAATGGTTGATATTGGTTGTGTGTTGATGCTAACTGAGTTAATTTCCTCTGTTTCTGGTCAACTGGTAAATTATTTGATTTCATGTAATTATACATAAAACTGCCAATTGTTTTTTCATCTGTGATAATATCTAAGTTTCTTATTATCGGTAAAAAGTTAATGTAATCATTAATATACTTTTCATCAATGTGACCCTTTACTTCAGCCACGAATAAAGTATTTTTCTTTCTAATAATTCCCAGTGCTTTTGCTTTCTTTGTTGCTGTATCACAAATGATAACACCATTCAATCTTCCCGGCATATACATTTTATGGTCAGTATATTGAATGAAATCATGAGGATTAGATGAAAATGATGAAGGATATAATGAATTAAAGTCAACACCAACGAAATGAGTCATAATGTTGGTGGTGTCCTCATTTGATACAGTTTTAGTTTCTGGATTATATGAAAGTTTATTAATGTGCGTGATTCCTTTAAGATTTACTCTATGTTGAACATTTGATAAACCACCAGTAATTCCATTACGGAGAATGTGATAAGCTTCAACTGAATCTAAAGTCATTGGTAAATTATTTTTTAATGCATAATTTCTTAAATTGATTCTTAAACGTTGAACATCTTCATCTTTATTTGATTTCACGACATTGCAATAACAACACATTAACCGACAATTTTCTTTAGTATGTGGTTTTTCATTATCTATTCTATCTAATGTTGGTTTATTAGCATATGTAAACGCTTTACCACACATTTTGCATTTAGATGAAAGGATTAAATCGTGATAGTATTGAAAATCATCCATTGAAACATTATTTTTAGTATCCCTTTCTGCTTTTTCATCTTGTTTCTTATATGATTCAATTTTATATTTCCAATACTTTTTCGTTAATTCAAAACTTGATTCTATCTCTTCCTCAGGATATTTTTCATTAGGATTAAAGTCTTTATATGCTAAAGCGTAACGAATCATTGAAGCATTCGATGATAAAGAAAGATTATGAAGCATATCAATTTTATAAACAAATGTTTCTTCAATAATTTTATCGATTGGGTCAATCATAATTTCAACATCTTTATTGCAATAATGAATAAAATATTCTAATCTATTCTTAAAATTTTTAGCATCATTGAGATATATTTGATAATCACTATCTGATATAGTTTCTTGAGTTAATGCTGAATAAAATGAATCTTTCGTGAATGGTTCCTCTTTATATAATTCTTCTTCGTAATTCTCCCATGTGATAAATTGATAAGGGAAAAAGGATTTAACACGTGATTTATTGTTTCCGAAATCTTGAGTGAATTGGTCTAATGTCCCACTCGCTATATAATTTCTGATGTCAATAAATCTCAATTCATATGGAGCGTTTGTTTTCTTTACAATGACTTGCTTAAATTGAGAAGAAGAACCCAGTATTGATTTTATTTTCCATTTTGCAGTGTTTAAATCACGAAGAATTAAATTTAAATCAAACTTTCCCGAATTAAAACCTATGATATTCACTTTATTGAATTCCTCATCTAGAAGTTCTTTAAATGCTTCCTTCTGTTTTTCATTTAATGTATGGGACAAAGTCCCCACCGTTTGCGGCTTCAACAATTCATTGTATTGACTCATATTTGATTTAGCAACTAATGAACAGGTTGAAAATAAAAACTCAATCCAATCAGAAATAAAAGAATCACTCGAAGTTAAGCAAAAATTCCTCGTATATGTTTTATCGTTTAATTTAACCGTTGATGATACCATGAATGGTTTTAAGTAAGCGTTCAAAGTTGCACACTCAGAAAGTTGTAATTCTTCTTTAGTCTCTAATGTTTCAAAGTCAAAAGTAATATAATATCTTGTCGGTTTATAATATTTCTGCAAATTATGAGCTAATAACCACTGATATATCTTCTGTTTCGTAATATGTGGTGCATATGGTTGCTGTGTCTTTTGCAACTGAACGTCTTGAATTAATCTCCCATTATTTTCTTTACATTTCTCACAATGCTTTAAAAATCTTCTTTGGTTTTTCCTTTTTGGATCATCACGGATAGAATAAACTTCTTCTTTACAATATGGGCAAACTCTATAGCCGGTGAGTGCTTCAACGTCTGTTATTCTGTCAGCGTGAAGTTTTCCACATGGACTCTGTGTTAATAAAATATTTACTGTTTCAAATTCTGGATCTATCATTATTGAATCCACTAATGGAAAGTCTACCTTATTTATGTCCACGCCTTCTGGTTGAGGATCACAATAATAGAAATCAATATTAACATTTAACATTCTCGCTAATCTCTCACTTTCTGATGAAATGCCAAACCCTTCATATGCATCTATTGCTTCATTTAAATAGCTTCTACGAGATTTACGATTAACACCATCAGGAATGTTATAGAAGCGTTTAAATAACCTTCTACCTTCTGCTCTAATTTGATTATCATTCATTTTAGCTGTTCCGTTTTTGTTCATTTATGTAAGAATAAAAAATTAAAAAATAAATAAAAATAAAGTTTATTTTTTAAAGCCCATAAAATGAATTAAGAACACATAAATTTTTATCATCTGCGACGTGACGAATACATTTTAATTTACTCAAGAATGCGTACCCTGATACATTAAATCTAATTCCTGTCTTATTTAATTTCACAACTTTGAAAAGGAATGTATGAATAGCTATAAAATGATGAGAAGATGTTTTATGGGTTGCTTCCATTTTTTCTGAAATAAATGAATAAATATAATGCTTATACGTTTTCATATCTTTTATATTCTTAATAATGAATGATATAGACCTTTCCACTTCATCTTCCTTCGGTGCTGTTCTTTCATATGAAACATTATTAGTATCTTCAACAATGAAACCGCAATCACATAAAATTTTATATGTTCCAATGGTTTCTTTTGATATTTTATCTAATAAATCAAAAACTTTATCAACACCTGTGCATTTATTTAAATAATAATTTGTGTAAATATCATGATCTTCTTTCTTAATCGTATTAGTTGCATATGTCACGTTTTTAAGAGCTTTTTTGAATTTCTCAGAATCGAGAGGGGGTGAAAATAAGATACAAGGGTATTTTTCATTATCAATAAATTGTAACTTATGTTTACGTATAAATTTAGTACCTTCTTCTGAAAGTGTTTCGTCTATTTCACCATCTAATAAATTTTGTGTTGATTCTGAGACATAATTTTTATATCTTTCTTCATGAGATTTCTGAACTTCTGATTCTGAAGCTGGGATATTCATTAAACCCTCTACTTCATTTTCATTATATTTTTCAACTTCTCTTAATTCCTTAATTCTTTTATCTATTTCATCTCTTATTTTTTTCAGTTTTTCAATTTCATCGTATTCATCATCTTTAATCCGTTCTTCATAATATTCAGGGAAAACATCAGGTTCTTTAGGTTTTTCTTCTTCAGATGTAGGATATAAGAAATTTATAACATCATCTTTATTCATTTTTCCATCATAATCTAAATCATTTAATAACTCGGCAAATTTTTGACAATTTCTTAAATAATATTTACTAACTTCATAACCCACCTCCTCTAATATATCCTTTATTTCCTCGTTTGTGAATCCTAATTTTTTAACGTTGTTAGTTTTGACGCTCATTTCATACAAAATAAAAAATAAATTATTCAAAAATGTAAGACATGAATGTTTAAAGTTTATTTTTTAAAATTTTTTTTATTTTTTATTTCATTATGTATGGGCTGAGTGTAAATGTCTTACAATTTTGAAAATTTTTTAAATCTTAATTTATTCAAAAACGTAAGAATAACAACCGTAAGAATCATACATTTTTTACTTCATATGTTAAAAAAAATGATACAAAATCGCTCGATATTATATGAATTCTTACGTTTACAAAAAAAAGTCACAAAGCCCTTCAACACAGTTCATAGGGATTTCGTGTAAAAAAAGATTTTGGTGACAAAAATCGTTTTGGGTAGGAACAGATTAAATAGCTATATTAAGAACTTAACATGAAATTGAGTTATGGTATAACCGCTAATATTAAAGTATTTTTTGGGAGACCTAAGTTTGATTCAGCAATGTTTATTTTTTTTATTTTTTTTTTAACCAATGGACGGTCTCAATGATTACAAAGAAGTAAATGGACCACAAACATATCCTGATGAAACAGAACATTGCGAGATAAGTTTGATAGATTACCGTGATAATCGTGAAATTCAACTAGATTTATCAAATTGTCGTCAAGAAATAGTCCAAAGTCTACAAGAGGGCCTATATGATAAAGCCTATGATATATTCATGCAACTTGATCCAGAAATTCAAAACACTTTTTATTGTGAATTAAAAGAAAACACAGATATCGATAAAAAGCCGAATATCTTATATTTTGTATTCAGTTACATGATTTTTATCTTGAAAGAGATCTTATTCCACTATTTTTAACAGATAATTGCATTTTATTTACAAACAATCAATTTCTCATGGCATTTTATCGTGTTATTTACAATAACTTTGAAATTTTCAAAAGTTTAACATTGTTTGATGAATTTTCGCATTTAATTGATCATCTTTTTTCAATATTTTTGCTTACGAAGAACTACTTACTAGGGAAAATTATTATTTATTTCTTCCAAGTATGTTTCAGAGATTTGTTGCAGTTAGATGTACTCAAAGATTGGTTATTAAACTTTCGTGATCTATATTATGAAAATTGTAACATATCTGACAATACATACATGGAATATTTCGTTATGAAATGCATTATTTATTCAATCTTGACTAAAAGAGGTATTTATGATATGAATTCAGAAATTTCATATTGGAAAGAAAAATATAATGAGTATGATGATTTGACATTCGAGTCAAAACAAAACATAGCTTTAATATATTTCCATTTTAAATATATTGGAATATTTGATCAAATAAAAGAAGCAAAAGAAAAATTATACGATGATTTCGAAGAAATTTTAAATACAGAGCAGTTCATGGAGTATTGGATCGACTGGCTTTGTTTCAAACTGTTTTATGCGAAGATTCTTCACAAGTTAATATCGAAATCGAAAAATTTGAAATTTATTATCTGTTTCAAATTATAAAACCTAAACAATAGTCAGGTTATTTTTGGTTTTTATGATACTCTTAATAAAAAGGTAATAAAATATACATTTTTAAAGATATTCAAGTTTTTAACAATAAATTGTCTATAATATACATCTGTACAATTATTATATAAATTTCATTATATGTGTTTAGTTCTTAGTTGATTTTTTTGGAAATATAAAATATTATTCCGAATAAAAAGTTTGTTTAAAAGCACACAGAACATAGAGTCATTACTTCATCATTAGAACTAATAGAAAACGTGAGTAGATTGTCTTCAATATGCTTGTAGAGCTTCAATTGTTTTTGGTAACAAATTCAACATTTTTAGACAAAAGTTTTGTATTTAACTACATATTTATCTATATAGTATTTTTACAGTTTCAAAAACAAATGTTTGATAGAATTTAACAATTTTAATCCCAATTTTATTTTTTTAATTATTATTGTGATATCTAAATAGTAATGTACATAGATCTAAATATTTATATTCAAATATTCTGTCCTTTATTCAAACTTCTGTCTTTATCAAATTTCTGTCCTTTCTTTCAATTTTCTGTCCTTTCTTTGGAAATAAATTAATGGAGCAGCAGGCTCAACTTTTCCAAATAGATACTTCTTTCTTCCGGCAGATAAATATGCAATTGATTGAACCAAATTTTAGCGATATTTCGCACCCACGAATCCCAAGAAAAAATTTAGCTGAATATAAAATCGAACAAGAAACCAAAAAAACAGAAGCACTTACAGAATTTAAAAACTTCCTAGCTGAACAACATTTTACTCAAAAAACTGAAACAGGAGGGCATACAATCGTGAAGATATTCGTAATCATTATGAAGATTATGCTAGCGTGGAGTATTCTATTGAAGATATAACAAGTGAGCATCTTACTCTTTCATCAGAATGCCTACGAGAATTCAATTCCCGTACATATTTCATGAAAACAGCATCAAATTCTGTTTTACCTCTACAGTACAAATTTAAGCAACCAGTCGCTATTGCAACAGAAGAAAATCATGAAGACAACCCCGATCAAAGTTCGACCCAGAATATTCAGAGTATAAATGAAAATAATACTATTAGTGAAAGTAATCATAATGAATACCAAAATACTAGTTCTAACGAAAATATTCAAAGTGAAAATCAAAATGTTTTTCAACACAAATACGTAAAAAAACCTTTGAATTTATATATTCGCAGGGAAAAATTATCTTTTGGAGTATGTATTTGGTAAAAATAGAGTATACATAGAATCTAATGCTTATATATTTGAAAATTAATTATAGAAATTTAAGTTCAAATATCGAATTTTTGAATTCTATCAAACATTTGTTTTTGAAACTGTAAAAATACTATATAGATAAATATGTAGTTAAATACAAAACTTTTGTCTAAAAATGTTGAATTTGTTACCAAAAACAATTGAAGCTCTACAAGCATATTGAAGACAATCTACTCACGTTTTCTATTAGTTCTAATGATGAAGTAATGACTCTATGTTCTGTGTGCTTTTAAACAAACTTTTTATTCGGAATAATATTTTATATTTCCAAAAAAATCAACTAAGAACTAAACACATATAATGAAATTTATATAATAATTGTACAGATGTATATTATAGACAATTTATTGTTAAAAACTTGAATATCTTTAAAAATGTATATTTTATTACTTTAATAAGCAGAGAGTAATACGATTGTGAAATTCTCGTTATTCTATAGGAAAAAATAACAATAATCAAAAAAAAAGTTGATCGCCATTCGAACTTGAGCAGACACCAAAAATAAGCCTATTTTAGCGGTTATACTACTATACATTTCAATTATTTAATCAAAATTTACAGATATATTTGTATTCCAAATATGCTTCAAACTATTTTCATTATGAACGAATTACTTATGAAAGTCAATATATTTGTGTTATGTCTTAATATGCTCTATTTCCGTTATATTCACAATCATACCTTCTATATTCTTATTTTTTTCACAAATTAAATTTAAATCATCAAGAAAACGACAGTGTAATTTTGCAATCTTGATACATTTCAATCACATCTTATTGATTTATGAGACAATGCAATTAAAACATATTCTTTTTTTTATTTTTCAAATTTCTCGTTTAGAAGAAAGTAGTTATTGTAATGATTCAAATTGTTAACCTGGTTACTTCATTTTTAACATGAAATATATCTCATTTTAGAATTAATCATTAAAACGTAGGGGGGAGTCTTTCATTCAAAATTGTGAGAATACGGTTTTTTTCACCAACATAAAATTTGTCACCAAAAAACCCCATACTGTTCAACATATACTACTATGAAAAGTTCTTTGAAAAGTTATTTTTTCTCATTTTTAAATATTGTATTAGCCTATTTATTTATAATCCAAATTAAATAACTTTAAATTCAATAGTTAAAGAATAATTTTGAAGGAATTGAGTTACTTTCCCCGACGATAAAATTGAGAGGTTTACATTTTGACCGAACTTAGCATGCAACAATATGATTATTATGTAAATAAAAGTGATTAGAACATAAACAAAGCATTTAATAATCTCTGAGATAAAATCCTTTGATTATTTTTTGAGGAATAATTCGGTAATCTGCTGTAACGTATCAGCTGGATTCTTAACTGTATGAGCAATAACTCTTTTATCGTGAGCAATTTCGTGATCGTTACCTCCTTCGCAGGTCATATCTCCAAAGAAGTGGATTTCATCATATTTTCCTTCAACAAATTGGAGGCAGTATACTTTCGACCAGCCAATTGGGAAAACGTCGAAAGAAATTTGTCCACCGATCGAATACTGCAATTTCAGATCTGGAAATTCTTTCTTCATTGCTTCTACCATATTATGGCGAATATGCTGAACCTTATCAAGCTTTCCAAATTCATTGCGCTCTTGTTGCGTGCAGTTTCTTCCAATTGGGCAGATGTTGATTAAACCTGTACGTAATTCAACAAATGTTCCTGATTTGACAGGAATATCAAGATCTGCTATGTATCTAAGCACAAAATTGACAAAGCGCTTGTATTGGTCGGGTGAAATGGCCGTTCTGATTGAATGGTTTCCAATTCTTTCATGGCCTTTGTATGCGACAAGACCATTTTCGGAAAATGAATAGTCAACTAAATCAAAAACATCATTTCCCAGCTGATCGTACTGTTTCGGTAGGTCGGAACCTCCAACAACACCTACATCACAAACTTTTCTCAAGTCTTTGATCATTTGGATAATCTCTGGTGGAGCATGAAGACGTGATGGTGTGAGTGTCCCATCAATATCAAAGAGAACGAGAATTCGTTTCCCAGACATAATCTAATAAAAAATTTTTTTTGAATTGCAAATTCAATTATTTTTCATAGTTTTTTACAGAACCTTGTTGAGTGTCAAATAAGCCGAATTCTGGCCGTTTGGTCAAATCACACTTTCTGCGATTTTAATAATACAGATTCTAAAATATCAAATAATATGGAGGCTTTTCTTCCACTCGAATTTATTAGTAGTATATGTTGAAGGGTTTTGTGACTTTTTTTTGTAAACGTAAGAATTCATATAATATCGAGCGATTTTGTATCATTTTTTTTAACATATGAAGTAAAAAATGTATGATTCTTACGGTTGTTATTCTTACGTTTTTGAATAAATTAAGATTTAAAAAATTTTCAAAATTGTAAGACATTTACACTCAGCCCATACATAATGAAATAAAAAATAAAAAATTTTTTTAAAAAATAAATCATTAAAAAATTAACATTGTAATAAACAGAAATTCATCAAAAGTGACAGCTCTCAATTTTTTGACATTTGTAAATTCTAAATTGAATGAGAAAAATGAAATAATACTAAGCATAATACAATATTCTAGATTTAATTATAATTAGGAAAAAGTTAGTTTTGAGAGTACTTTTCATAGGCATATAGAATGAAATCTTCTGAAAAATAATATCACATAAACTCATATTATTTTCTAATATATAACTATTTTATATAAAAATCAAATTCAATGATCTTAAAAGCGAAGGATAAACCTCAAAATTTACGAATATAATGAGTGGAAATATAATGCTTATCTATCATAAAACCATATGAAATATCAATTTTTGCTTTACGCCTAATTTTTGACGACAATTAGCAAAAAATGTTAAATGTTAACACTCAGTCCATTTGAATATGAAAAATAAAATTGACTTTGATTAAATGTTTTTATTTATCATGCAATTCTTCTTGCGACCAAAGATTTGAATAAAATTTCAAAAAATAAGATAGCTTAAAAAATAATATACGGTAGTGTTTACTAATAGATGAATAGTATATAAATTCTATTAAAATGGATTTGATCCAAAAAAATATATAAAATTTGATCATAAATAAAATCGTTTTAAATTACTTCTTCATTTAAATTATAACAATTATTTTTGGTTTTATATTTTTTTGGATCAAATCCATTTTAATAGAATTATATACTATTCATCTATTAATAAACACTACCGTATATTATTTTTTAAGCTATCTTATTTTTTGAAATTTTATTCAAATCTTTGGTCGCAAGAAGAATTGCATGATAAATAAAAACATTTAATCAAAGTCAATTTTATTTTCATATTCAAATGGACTGAGTGTTAACATTTAACATTTTTTGCTAATTGTCGTCAAAAATTAGGCGTAAAGCAAAAATTGATATTTCATATGGTTTTATGATAGATAAGCATTATATTCCCACTCATTATATTCGTAAATTTTGAGGTTTATCCTTCGCTTTTAAGATCATTGAATTTGATTTTTATATAAAATAGTTATATATTAGAAAATAATATGAGTTTATGTGATATTATTTTTCAGAAGATTTTGTGTTCTTCTTCAAAATTTTATTTTTTTATTAAAAAGAATCTTTACAAAATATACATTTACTTTAATTAATATTTAAAAACGTGCTCTATCAAAAGTTCCAAAAATTCAATATTTTAGCTTTTCTGATGTGTCACTTTTGATGAATTTCTGTTTACATCAACATTAATTTTAAAATAATTTATTTTCACATCTTCTATATATAGATGATATAAAAAATTTTTCTTACGTTTTTTTAAGTCATGAATTTGTAAGAAAGCGCGACATTATTAAATAAATTAGTAATAAATATTATATACTAAACACATTTTAAAAAATTAACATTAATTTTAAAATAATTTATTTTTTTATCTTTTATAAAAGAAGCTATATATAGATGATGTCGGATATTCCGCGATTAATTAAACATTGTTTAAATCCTGAATGGGTTAAACTTCAATTTAAAAATGAAGATTGTGAATTATTAAATGAATATGAAAGCCAAAATAAGCTAATGAGGTATAAATATAATGATAAAGAATATTTAATTTCATGGAATCAATGGAGTCATAATCAAAGACCTCATAAACGAGAAGAAGAAATTGAAAATAATGAAATGGAAATCATTGATGACATTAAAGAGGATGGAATTCATATAAAAATAAGAAGTCTGTTTGACCTTAAGAATGATTTATATATAAAAATAAAATAAACTTCTTACGAAAAATTAAAACTTAGTTATGTTTATTATTTTATTTTTTATTTTGTATGAAATGAGCGTCAAAACTAACAACGTTAAAAAATTAGGATTCACAAACGAGGAAATAAAGGATATATTAGAGGAGGTGGGTTATGAAGTTAGTAAATATTATTTAAGAAATTGTCAAAAATTTGCCGAGTTATTAAATGATTTAGATTATGATGGAAAAATGAATAAAGATGATGTTATAAATTTCTTATATCCTACATCTGAAGAAGAAAAACCTAAAGAACCTGATGTTTTCCCTGAATATTATGAAGAACGGATTAAAGATGATGAATACGATGAAATTGAAAAACTGAAAAAAATAAGAGATGAAATAGATAAAAGAATTAAGGAATTAAGAGAAGTTGAAAAATATAATGAAAATGAAGTAGAGGGTTTAATGAATATCCCAGCTTCAGAATCAGAAGTTCAGAAATCTCATGAAGAAAGATATAAAAATTATGTCTCAGAATCAACACAAAATTTATTAGATGGTGAAATAGACGAAACACTTTCAGAAGAAGGTACTAAATTTATTCGTAAACATAAGTTACAATTTATTGATAATGAAAATACCCTTGTATCCTACTTTCACCACCTTTAGATTCCAAAAAATTCAAAAAAGCTCTTAAAAACGTGACATATGCAACTAATACGATTAAGAAAGAAGATCATGATATTTACACAAATTATTATTTAAATAAATGCACAGGTGTTGATAAAGTTTTTGATTTATTAGATAAAATATCAAAAGAAACCATTGGAACATATAAAATTTTATGTGATTGCGGTTTCATTGTTGAAGATACTAATAATGTTTCATATGAAAGAACAGCACCGAAGGAAGATGAAGTGGAAAGGTCTATATCATTCATTATTAAGAATATAAAAGATATGAAAACGTATAAGCATTATATTTATTCATTTATTTCAGAAAAAATGGAAGCAACCCATAAAACATCTTCTCATCATTTTATAGCTATTCATACATTCCTTTTCAAAGTTGTGAAATTAAATAAGACAGGAATTAGATTTAATGTATCAGGGTACGCATTCTTGAGTAAATTAAAATGTATTCGTCACGTCGCAGATGATAAAAATTTATGTGTTCTTAATTCATTTTATGGGCTTTAAAAAATAAACTTTATTTTTATTTATTTTTTAATTTTTTATTCTTACATAAATGAACAAAAACGGAACAGCTAAAATGAATGATAATCAAATTAGAGCAGAAGGTAGAAGGTTATTTAAACGCTTCTATAACATTCCTGATGGTGTTAATCTAAACTCGTAGAAGCTATTTAAATGAAGCAATAGATGCATATGAAGGGTTTGCATTTCATCAGAAAGTGAGAGATTAGCGAGAATGTTAAATGTTAATATTGATTTCTATTATTGTGATCCTCAACCAGAAGCGTGGACATAAATAAGGTAGACTTTCCATTAGTGGATTCAATAATGATAGATCCAGAATTTGAAACAGTAAATATTTTATTAACACAGAGTCCATGTGGAAAACTTCACGCTGACAGAATAACAGACGTTGAAGCACTCACCGGCTATAGAGTTTGCCCATATTGTAAAGAAGAAGTTTATTCTATCCGTGATGATCCAAAAGGAAAAACCAAAGAAGATTTTTAAAGCATTGTGAGAAATGTAAAGAAAATAATGGGAGATTAATTCAAGACGTTCAGTTGCAAAAGACACAGCAACCATATGCACCACATATTACGAAACAGAAGATATATCAGTGGTTATTAGCTCATAATTTGCAGAAATATTATAAACCGACAAGATATTATATTACTTTTGACTTTGAAACATTAGAGACTAAAGAAGAATTACAACTTTCTGAGTGTGCAACTTTGAACGCTTACTTAAAACCATTCATGGTATCATCAACGGTTAAATTAAACGATAAAACATATACGAGGAATTTTTGCTTAACTTCGAGTGATTCTTTTATTTCTGATTGGATTGAGTTTTTATTTTCAACCTGTTCATTAGTTGCTAAATCAAATATGAGTCAATACAATGAATTGTTGAAGCCGCAAACGGTGGGGACTTTGTCCCATACATTAAATGAAAAACAGAAGGAAGCATTTAAAGAACTTCTAGATGAGGAATTCAATAAAGTGAATATCATAGGTTTTAATTCGGGAAAGTTTGATTTAAATTTAATTCTTCGTGATTTAAACACTGCAAAATGGAAAATAAAATCAATACTGGGTTCTTCTTCTCAATTTAAGCAAGTCATTGTAAAGAAAACAAACGCTCCATATGAATTGAGATTTATTGACATCAGAAATTATATAGCGAGTGGGACATTAGACCAATTCACTCAAGATTTCGGAAACAATAAATCACGTGTTAAATCCTTTTTCCCTTATCAATTTATCACATGGGAGAATTACGAAGAAGAATTATATAAAGAGGAACCATTCACGAAAGATTCATTTTATTCAGCATTAACTCAAGAAACTATATCAGATAGTGATTATCAAATATATCTCAATGATGCTAAAAATTTTAAGAATAGATTAGAATATTTTATTCATTATTGCAATAAAGATGTTGAAATTATGATTGACCCAATCGATAAAATTATTGAAGAAACATTTGTTTATAAAATTGATATGCTTCATAATCTTTCTTTATCATCGAATGCTTCAATGATTCGTTACGCTTTAGCATATAAAGACTTTAATCCTAATGAAAAATATCCTGAGGAAGAGATAGAATC